GGGGCACCACCCCTGGGGCATTGCTGCTCCCCGGCCCCAGCCAGCTGTTGGTCGCCGGTTTCGTGTATTCCCCCCAGGGGCGAGGGGTGGGAAACTCCAATGACATCTGCCGTCCAGCCGGGAAGCCGGGAAGCCGGGAGGGGGGGGGGGGAGTGGCAGGCCTGGTCCCCCGGCGAGTGGGCGTGCAGCAGGCCCGGTCGCCCTCTGTGGCCGGGTTCGGGGAAGAGGGCGGCGGGAGCGTGCGGTGCGGGCAGACGCGGCAGCCCCGGGCTTCGCCCCCCCGCACCCCCCCACTCCGGGGAGGGGGGCAGAGCACGACGATCTGTCCAGGCATGCGGGACGGGACGGGGCGGGGGGGGGGGGGGGGGCGGGGGAACGCTTGACCCGGGGTCATCCAGGCCGACGGGCCGACCGCGAGGATAATGCACCTAATTTAGTGTGGCCAATATATCAAAGCGACACAGAGGCCCGGTCCAAGTCAGCTAGGACGGCCGTGTTGGTGCTGGCGTCTGATTGCTGAAAGGGTACGGAATCCCGGCCAGCGGGCACGCCTTCGCGCGACAAAGACACAGGCCGGGCCTGTTGGGGCTGGGCTTATCGTGAGCAACGGTCATCATTCTTGCCTGTGAGGGGGCATCCTCTCTGCTGCCGCCCGCCCGCCCGCCCGCCCGCCCGCCCGCCCCCCATCTCCCTGCCCCCCGCGGGTTGGCCCCCTGTCCAAGCAACCGGCCTCGGGCTTTCCTTCCCCCGGTCTTCGTACCCTTTTTCCGGACTAGGTCCCGCCCCTGCCGGCGGTCGAGGCCGGCGGCTATCCGGCCACATGCGCGGCCGCGCGCACCCGGGCCCGAAGGCATTGCCTTGCATTGGATGGCGCTAGTGGCTCGGCGGCTGCACGGCGCCCGAGCGCCAGTGGCCAGGAGGGGGGGGGTGCGTCGCCCCTCCGGCTCTTGCCTTCCTCTGCCCGGGTGCTGGCTGTTCCGGCTGCGCGGGGGCCTTGATCGG